GAAGTTTCGTAGAATGTGCATTTTTGAGTACTTCACTGTGAAGTTACTGTGAAATAGGTGCTTTAAACTTTAATGTTGTCTTTTTTGTTTGTTTGAGTTATGTTGTGCATTTTGGTATGGTGAGTCTTTATGAAGTGATATGTAGCATGTTGTCAAGTTGAACTTTGTGCTAATTAACTCATGTAATGTAAGTTGAGCTCATAAGTATTGTAAGAAGGAAATGCCTCATGATGAATTGATTTGACCCTTATGTGTGGTAATATGAGTTTTGAAATTGTCTTGTTGAAATGACATGGTTTATATTGATTTGATATTGTTGATTGGTTGGGCGACTAGTCTTGGTGTCATTCGGAGACAAATGTTCCTACGGGGAGAGGGGAGGGGGGGGATAATGTAACACCTTGAAAATTTAAGATGTGTCGTAAAGCCTAACATAGGTGTCATAAGGTCTAAGTACTGTTTTAAGTCCATCATAATTAAATATAGGTCATTTAGAAATTTTATGAACCAAAACGTCCAAGAATGTCCATGATGTCTGAGAAGTTTGTTCAAAGGGGTGTTAGCGTGACTTAGCCTATTTTACTAACTTTTAGGAGTCATAAATGTACTAAAATTGGTTGAAGTATAAATAATAGGTGTTTCGGTTGTTCCATGGTCAAAATTTTTGGGTACGACTCCCCAAAAATCACCTAAGGGCCCTTGAGGAGGACCCCTGCAGGTTGAGGCAACACTGCCTGTACTAGTGTGCATTGGCAAGTCACTCAACGTCCCATATGTGGACCAAATAGGCATCGATGCCACCGTTGTCCCAAACTTAGTCTGGTTGAGAAGGTCCTTCACCCGCACAGCCTCTGAACTCATAGACGTAGTGAAAAGGTGCAGGCTACAGTCCGAGTATAGATCGACGGGGCGTCGGTGCAACCGTTGTCCCACATTTAGCCAATTAATAGAAGCCCCTCACCCTCACAATCTCTAAACTCATCGACGGAGTGCCGAATTACAAGGAGGTGGGTCCGTAGACTTACAGATTGCCCATTGGCGGGGTTCAGTCTGTGAGGAAGTGATTTTCCTACACGTTTTAGAGTCAAGTAATTTAATAAGTTAATATTTGGTATAAAGGGGAGACTAATTAACTAACTTAAAACCCATATAAAATGCCCAACCCCAATTAAACTAATTATAACTCAAAAACATAAACTCTCTTCCTTCTCTGTTTTTTCTCTCTCTACTTGAACTCACCGTTGAAGACTATAAAGGAGAAGAATTTGGGGGGTGGAAAGGGACAAATTAACTATCAAATTGTTATCAAACATTAAGGTATGGGATCTAATTCACCTTTGAGACACTTTCCTCAAAGGGTTCCTTCAAAATGGATTTCAAAAGTTGAGTTCCCTTATGGGCTTCATCCAATCATGAAATTGAAGTTATTAATTGAGTTATTGATGATTTATTTAGGTTATATTGAATAGATTTATATAATTCAACTTGTTTATTGTAATAGTTTATGGTTTTGTCTAAATTAAAAAACATGATCCTCAATCCCTAACCATTGGTTGTAATCTTGACCTATATTGTATTGTGGTCATTCAATTGAATTGATTATTGATTACATAACTATCCAACGGTTCTATGATGAATAAATTAAGATAAATTATAGGCTTATTATTGTAGTTCTTGAGATGTGATTTAGGTTATGAAGTATATTGTGAAATTAGCCTATGTATCTTGTCTTAAGTTATGATCTAGTGTTGAATTGTTTAATAGAGATGCAATTGGCCGTGTTATCATATTGGTTATCATTGTGTGATGATGTTACTCCCCTTGTTGGGTTGAGCTATGGGTTAATGATAAGACCTTGAAGGTGAACTATGAGGAAGACTTGGTAAGTCTTAGTAGCCCTATCTTTACTTTCAATTGTGATTAATTGTGGTCAAGCCATGATGTTTCATTAGAGTATGCCTTATAATAGGATGAGAGGGTGGTATGATGTTGAATTTAAATGTCTTGACTATATTCTGAGGTTGATTAAGGTGTATGTGATATAAGGATGGTGAAAACTATCAAAGTGCCTTGATATGGTATGAAATGCTAATGTGTTAACCTCACTTATATGAATTGTGGTGAAAGGACATATACTCATATAATTCTTATTGAGCTATTGATGATGATGATTATACAAGGGGTAGACCCTATTACCTAAATTAAGTTATGGTTGATTATTTAAGGCTTAAAGACATTTCAAAAAGGGACTCTAGCTTAGCACCAAGTGAACTAGATTGAGGAGTGTCCCTTCCCACATAGGGAAGTTAGGAACACTACATTACTCTTAAGATTGGAGACTATAATCCATGGCGCATAAAGAGGGTCCCAACTATATCTCCTAGTTCTTGAACTATGTTGCCCCATAGGAATACTATCTAGTAGATCTACTTAGTTTCTATGTTTCATGTTTTGGTTCTACCGTGGCAAGTAGTCCACCTTCTTTCGGTGTAGGATTTTATGAATGTGGATTCCACACTAGATCATGTGATCTATGTCGGTTAGGCAATATTTTCGTAAAAGGTAAAACGAATTAAAGGACTTGAACTCTAACTTGGATAACCTAAGAGGTCTAGCTTAGTCTAGGTAGGGGTATGGGACTCTACCTAATTATTGCACTAGTTAGTTTTGAGGGGATTCTTAGGAGGAGGTTATTCTATATGTTTATGTTATGATGATATATGATATATATATGATGACCTTGGCACATTGCTGATACTATATGTTGATTAGTTCATTTATGAGTATGCTTTAGGTTATAATGTTAACATAAGATGAAGTGTAAATCTAAATATTATGTAATGTAAAGTTGGGCATTGGTCATGGTTTTCTTGTTGAGGATACTTGATTGAGTAAGGTTATGGGGCTTTGCTTTGTCATTGCACTTGTTGACTTAATAAGGACTCATGAGTAGTTGTCTTGCTTATTATAATATGATTGACTGTTATTCATTCTTGTTACGTTATTCTGTGATGATAGGGTTGTAGTAAATCATGGTTTCAAGTTTGTTGGAATACGTATTACTTGTTGAGTTAGTAAGCCTGTTTGGTTGATTGATATGACTTGCTTGGCTTTGCATTAGGTTCCTAAAAGGGTAAAAATTACATTTTTTTACTAAATGTCCTTTTTAGCATGTTATTCTTGTCTATGTGCAGAAGGTCTCATAATTAGTACATGTGTACTACTAACCTCATTTTCATCACTATTCCCAAACATTTTAGGTTCCGGTCGTTGAAGAGTTTGGAAGGAGACATTGTTGAAGGCTTGGATTCTTTATTTAATCCAAGTAGGTTATGTCCTAAACTTCCAAGGGCAATGCCACTATCTTGATTACGGACTTGTTATGAGATTAAAGACTTCTATTTCATTCCTTTTCAATTGAGTACTATACTTTTGCATGACCTATATGTGGTCTAGTTGGATGATGTAAGGTCTATGCCCATATTGTGATAATTGTTTAGATGTTATGATATTATACAATCGTTGAGACTATTTTTATATTCTATAAATGTATGTGCAACAAAAGTAGAAATGCATGTAACCTTCCTATACGAAGGTTCTATGTATATCTACAAATAGTTATAATGAAAGTTTTAAATTTTTTCCTGCATTTTTCAACCTATGAATGTAATGACATGAGAAAGAGGCTAGTCTTAGTCCTTAAAAAGGACGACAAAGGCGGTTACATCTAGGGGGTAAACCTGGATGTGACAGAGAAAAAGCTTGGAATTGTTTTTTTCCTTTGAGTTTCAAACCTTCATCAATAGAGTTTTTTGAGAAAGAAATGGAGAGTTTTTGTTTTAAGTTCAGGGTTTAGTATTGATTGGTGAGTTTATAGGATTAAAATGACTCAATAACTATCAATAATTCATCCCCAAATTATCCAAAAGACCCCTTCATTTATTGGAGAATTTAACCAATTCAAATGTTGCCTAAAAACGACGCGACCAAAACTAAGAGTTTGATGCGAGTCGCAGAGACATTTTCAAATCTTGGTTCTGGAAATTTTTGAGACAGAATGGTTCTTTAAAGACCTTCTTTGCAGATCCATATTTTTGCCCATTTAGTTCAAGCTGCATGACGTGCAGCCAGTGCCATATCTTGGTTGGCGCGACAGCTTGCATTGGCCAGATCTGGGTCCTCCTTGGGAACCCTTATGCTGGTCTCAGGGGCGTCGTTCTTAGACATTTAGAAACTTTAGATGTCAGTCTATGTAGAGGAATCATATACCCAATTTCACCTTCAAACTATCCCCCAAAATCCACTACAAAACACTACAACACACTAGTTTACTTTCAACTAGTTTCCTGACGTCTTGGACGTTTGACCTCCAATCAATTCCAAACTTTATATGCTGCCTATAAAAACTATTATTAACAATTTAAGAACTTTAAAACATCATGAAACAAGTGTTAGTATATTGTTCAACCTAGCTCATTTTTAGGGACGTTACAATCTCTCCCACTTGGACAACATTTGTCCTTGAATAACACTTGCCGCTTTTTAAACATTTTTAAGAGTTAAGATTCAAAGACTAGCAGCTCATAACCATACCACATCATTTTCAGTAAACTTAGATAGGAAGAACATCAACTCCACATAACAAAGAGACTCAAAACATAACAAGAAGGTAGGAACTACATCTACAGCTCATCATGCAATAAGACTCACATTTTTCATTTCATATAGGAGGAACTTCCTTCTCCACATATTATCATGCTCATATTTTCAAAATTGCAACTCTCAAGCAATTTATTAAAACATCATGACAATATGAGATACAAAACCATATGAACACATTTTTACCACTTATAGATGACTTTATAAAATGCACAATGCAAGGAATCATTGAAATACTATTCACCAAGACTCCTAAACACAATGCAACATGTTACTATGATATACTATCTCTCACAATACTCCCTACTTAGATGAAATCCATAACAACTAAAGAGTGAAAACTACAACTTAATGGCTTCATCATCATCAGATTTTGTTCTTTTGGCTCGAAGAGCATAGAAGCGATTTCTCTTTAGAGCACCACCATCTGGACCATAAGGAGGATCTTCCTTTACTTCTCCCGCTTTAAATGAAACATTTGGAAAATCCCTCGCCTTATGTTCATCCTTACCACAACTAAAGCAATTCCTGGTACCAACTAGACAATTCCCATACTGCTTTTTCTCACAAGTAACACAAGTGGGCTTACAGTTTTGAGAACCACTACCCTTATCAACTTTGACCTTAGGAGCACTAGGTCCGTCTAGAATTGGAGTTTTCTTCTTGTACCTAGTTTTATTTTTCTCACTTGGTCCATCCCTCTTAAAAAAAAATTCTATAAATCGTGCTACGCTTAGACTCCTCAATGCATTGAGCATACACTTTAAGTTTAGACAAGTTCATGTCACCATGGAGTATGGTCGTACAACACTCTTCTTTCACAAGGTAGGCCACACCGACCATAAACCTACTCATTTCATCCCTAGGGTTAGACACCAAGGATGGAGCATACATAGAAAACATAGTAAACTTCAAGCAATACTCCTCAAAAATCATATTTCCTTACTTGAGATTAATGAACTCTTTATCCTTCATCTCCCTCCTCTCACGGGGAAAGTACATTCCTAAAAAAGCCTCCTTGAACTCCTCCCACTCATAGGACCTGACTCAACCGGCCTATTATCTTTCAACTGAGTGTACCATACTTTGAGCAACCTCCCTCAATTGGTACGAAGCTAACTCTGTTTTATCCTTAGAAGTCACCCCCATGGCACTCAACACCTTATATACACCATCTAGAAACTCTTGAGGATTCTCTCCCACCTTAGAACCAAGAAATATAGGAGGATTCAATGTCATAAAATCTCTCAATCTAGATGTCATGGTTCTCTCCAAAGCATTCACCCTTGGACCAATGTCTCTGGTCACATGAGTAGTCATAGCTTAGGTAGGGCAAGTAAACCATCTCTAAACCTCCATTAGTCATGTCTAAGGGAACCACAGGAACATCGTTACCTTCTTCCACAATAGGAACTTGAGCATCTCTATCACCTTGAGCACCTTAAAGAACTTGCTTAACTTGATGAAGAATTTCCTCATTCACCCTCTCTTCTTCAGCCCTCCTTGAAGTCGTCCTTATAGTATTCATATTCGGATAAATACAAGGAAAATATTAAAAAGGACACTCATAAATTTTTACTCTATGGCATGACACAAGAGTAAAGGAATAAGGAAACTCTATCGTCCTATGGTATCTCGCCCATAGATGTGTCCCGACTTACACTGATGAACAAGACTCTACTACACCTTACTTTTTGAGACTTTTTGTTTCCTAAGACTACTTTCATAACCTATGATCTTCTACCAAGTTTGTAACGACCCACAAGTACACTCTAGAAGTTATGGGACTCTTCAATCGATACACATCGTACTTGCCTCTCAGAGGTCTTGTATAAGCCCTTAGACACCGTTCATTGCATAATATATATAAGTAGTTCAGAATTAAAAAATTATACATTATATCTACAAATCTCATTTATAGAAAATGATAGAAACGCTAAGTATCGAAGTAGCCAAGTTAGACGCATGAACAACTTTTGGTCATATCCCATTCTACAATCAAATAAAAATTAACGAAGTCTATTATAAAGTCTTTTTAACTAGAAAATCTAAACATATTGATGTCCTCAAATAGATTGAGGACATACCGCAAATTTTGCTTGAATGAGTGCTAGTATCAAAGTTTCACTTCACGAACATCTCTCAAGAGCCACCTACACCTTCGGAAGTCAAAAACATAAGGAATTAGCACATTAAATGTACTAAATATGACATAATGCATAAATTAATGATGAATAGAATTTTGTATGAAACATGCTCTTTCAGAGAAAACCTTTTAAGACAAGTATAATAGTCACTTACAAATCAACATATATGCATATAAGTGACATTCCCCAATATAGCATCAACATCACTTAAACCCATATAAACGTATACACCTCCTATCAAGGTTTTCCTAAGAATTAGTGAAGTAAGACAAGAAGAGACCGCCTATACACTCTCTTCAAGAAAACCTAAACAATCCTTAAGACTACCTAAGATAAGATTGTTCCTTTTTCCTTTCATTTACTCACCATCTATGGTTACTCCAAGATTCACCTTAGTAGTAAAAGAGGAGACCTCCCATACACCCTCTTCAAGTCTACCTAAGCAACCCTCAATGCTACTTGATAGGGATCGTTTTCTTCACATACACTAACTTAATACATGATCATTCATTAAGTCAACTAATAGACATTACATCACTTAAAGACTTCATATAATGGTCTTGGAAAGACCTAAGGAACCTACTCCCAAGCACCATCAAAGCCTACTCATGCCATGACTAGATGGCGTCCCATTTCACTACCTAAACGTTGTAGAACTTATCAAATACTACAATGTAACCCACATGATGAGAATAGGAAACAACCGACATAGACCATACTAGTTACGCAAGGAATCAGGAGTTATAACCTACTCTGATTGAGGGTGTTCTACTTGAAAAGGGTAGACCTAGGACACATCCCATATAGGCAAATGGTTAATGAATATCATGGTCTTCTATGCACTCTAGTATCCTTCTCAAGTAGAGCTACATTGTACTCTAGTCTCCTTGTCAAGTAGAGCTACAACCCATAACATGTTCACTCGGTGCTAGCTTTTGTTCTCATAGAGTAAGTTCAATAAAAAGGGGCATATGAAAAGTTACCATCTCTTTGTCATTACCTAATCATAATCCATCTACCGAAGATGGTTCCACTAGATTGCAATTCAATGATCTATAAGGACATCTCATTCTTAACCTTCTTTCTCTGTAGAAGGTTCCACATATTAGTCAAACTTATAAAGGTACCATTTCTTTGTTCTACTGATCATAGACTTTCATTCAATATTCACCATACACATACAAGACAAAGGTTCATAAGCCTACTAAGTCAAGATGTTCATATTCATATACTTAGCATGCATCAAGTAGAGGAACATACTCCTCCTAAAAAGACACACACAATCATCTTCATATCACATATACAATAGTGTTCAAGTATAATATAGGAATAACCAATTCAACCTATCAACATACACTAGTAACACCACTAGATGCATCGCTCTAGTCTATCATGATCACATATCGTCAATTAACAGAGATCAATCTCACACATACACATCTATAACATAGTATTTCACATTGATCATATTCAAGTTTTAACATGATAATATCACTATTCATAAATTATTATGGAAAAGGTCGTGTTCATCACATTTATAGCAAATAAGCATCTCCACCATAAGTGGACCATACAAACCACCACAATTAATATCTATACTGCACGATATAAGGAGTTGAGGTCAAATTACCCCAATTTATCATCAACACCATCAATTAAATTCACAAAGTGTGATAACCCTAAAAATGACTATGCTAAGTAATGCTTAATGTGTCTAGAATGCCTACGATGAGACCAGGTTCACACAGATTGATGCGTGTAGAACCAGAACTCTGAACCCTTGAGACAGTTAAACCAACTAACTTGGGGAGTTAGTTGAGCTAGTAAAAGTTGGTTCACGCCATGTAGGTCTCCAAAATAGGAAGATTTACCCAGATGAGTCTTTACCAGACTTAAAAAGGGGAAATCTTAAGTTTGAAGGGTCTAGCGGAAAAATGGTCTTTTAAAAGGCTAAGGGTAGTATAATAATTATCCTAAATATTTAATTAATTATTTAATTAATAAAGTGTAGGGACATTTTGGGGAGATAGGGCTGAAAATTGGCCTTTGAGTTAAGTCTTGCTTCACCTGGGTTCGAATCTAGGTGGAAGCAATGATATAAATTTTTTTCATTTGAATTGGCACATTAACTTAAATAATTAGTATTTATTAGATGATTTAATAAAAAGGAAAATAATATTTTTTAAAGGTTTGAAAGCGCCTAGTTTGACTAAGTCGTTACCTAAGCCAAAACTACCTTTCATGTTTCACTCTCTCACGTCAATATCTCACCTTCACGGTCATTCTCTCTTTTTTTCACGTTTATCAGCCAAGAAAAATTACTAAATAATAAAAATTACTAAATTTCTTCACACTTGAATAACTTGCACGAATATATAAGAAAAACAAGCTAATCCAAAACGTTAGGCAAAAGGGAGGATTATTCTGTCGATTTGGTGTTGAAGATGAGGGAATTTGGACGTGATTTTTGGAGAGGGTTTTGGGCAAAAAATCAAGGTTTGAACTACATAAAAGGTATGGGTTTTTCTTACTCTTTGTCCCTTTCCCAAGATACCCCTAAGATCCAGTTAATTCTTATTCGAAAACTAGGATTGTTTCCCCGTTCCATGTCCCTGTCACTAGTTCCCAATGATTCGTAGGTTGGGTATGTTTGCTGGTAGATATTAGGCATGTAATGTGTTTTCGTGATGAATATGTTCATGAATGTTTATTTGGAATCGTATGAATGACAACCTATGTTTTCCAAAAATATGTGTATGTGTGTGTAAAGTTATCCGTGACTATTACCTTCGGTTTGAGGTTCCAAAAAGATATGTTATGGTTGTATTTTTACGTGCACAAACTTATACAAATCGTGATGTTCACATGAACTGTAATGTGGCTGGTTTGAGTGAGAAATTCTTGGTTAAATGAATCCATAAAAATTTACCTAAGACGTTCTAAATGAACCATGAATTACCGTAATAACTAATGTGTAACGTTAATGGAAAAGATGCTGAAAAACTACAAAATTTCCAGCAACATATTAATGAGTTTCGGTCAAGTTAAAGAGGTTTAAAATTCTATAAATAAATGAGGTCACTGAGGATTGAACCCATAACCTCACCTTGTTAAAATTCATAAAATAATGTATGATAAAAAGAATGTGGTAAGGGGCATTCGAACCGTGACCTTGACTGGAAAATGAAACTATGAAAATAAAAAAATGAGAGGAGTGGGATTCGAACCATAACCTCTCGGTCAAACTCAAGAAATTAAAATAAAATAAAGGTTGAGGCGTGTGGAATCGAATCCACAACCTCTAGGCTGATTAAATAAATTAAAGAGAAACAAAAGTGAGGCTATGGGGATTTCATCCCATACCTTCACAGTTAACTTGGAAAAGTAAAGGAAAATGAAAATAAAAGAAATGAGACTGTGGGGGATTGAGACCACAAGCTCTCGGTCCCAAGAAAAATGAATAAAAAAGAAAGAAAAATAAGGAAGAATGAAAGGACGGTGTTGGGGCTCAATGTCAAGTTCCCAAACCATGTGGATCAAAATAGAACAAATAAAAAAATGTAAGTGTTGTCCAACGGATTCAAAATTGGATTCCCTTTCCTAATTCCGTATTGACACATAACTCATACGTAAATAAATGTTAAAAAATTATGTTGCCTACTCAGATCGAAATCAAGATCTTTGCATATTTACAAGATGCATAAGTCTTGTACCACATAATCTTACTAAGACACGAATAACTCAAACGAACTATGAATGAAGCCTCATGGCTTCTATGTATAAACCCATAAGTCTAGCATACATTTAAAACTAAGTGAACCTAAGATGTATGTAATGAAATGATGTAACCCTAGAAGGGTTAAGTACAAGTGTAAAACACACTAAATGGCCAAGTGCATTGGCATATGACGAAATTAACATTCACGTAAAAGGGGTGAGTAATTATGAAAAGCAAATGTGCTAGTGTTAATGAATGTGGTGACAACATGATAAGAGGCTAATGTGAAAGATAAGAGCAATATCAAATAAGCCTAAATAAATTTAACCAAAACGTACTCACCTATGAGAGTGTAAAGCTAATGAAGTGACCAGTATTTATGAACAATCTAATGAAAGTTTTGAGATTAATATATACTTAATACTAATGATGAGATGAGAAATCATTTATTAATCTATTATATCCTCGTACTAGAAGACAACTTCCACGACATATGAGTTAAATGTAATAGAACCGTATACTGAGCACTGATAGACTAGCTATGAGTGGTGATGCATTCTTTAGGGAAGTTCAGAGGTTCACGTAATTCTCATGAGATGAGACTGTCTGGCATGCCGGGTATGGGTCTCCTTATATATGCAAGGCTTGGAACCTATAATGCTAATAAATAGATTTGGCGGGGTTCAATTCCCGTGTATGCGAGCATCTTTTGGGTCACTTTGGCCGGTGATTCCACCTTTTTTCATTGTGGGGGATACACTGGATTTCATGATGCTCATATGATCTATGTAGTTTAAAGTTAATGTTCCCCATGAATGGATGAGGCTAGCCTCAAATGATGCAGATGATGAAATAAATGATATCAAAAGTATTACGATAGGATAATCAAGAGGTGAGCTAGACTTATGTAATGACACTAGGTCATTCTTGATCATTGCACAGCGAACCCGATGAAAATCTTAGACTACATCCTAGGTATAGTTGGTGTTTACACTAGCTTATGAATGTATGAAGTGAGTATGTATGAATGAATAAAGCAGACTCTGTGTTTGCTAAAGAAGGCTCCTAGTTGAGGTCCCACATGTTGATCCCTCATTTTTGGGAAGTCTTGATGTCAAGTCCATGATTCCAAAGTCTCATGGCGTATGAATAAATGATATGAAAGATGTTATGTGCTATATCTAATATGTTGTGTGATATGTAAGACGTATATGATGTGTTCAATATGATAAATATGATGATGCATGTTACTCTCATGACATTACTTCCTAATCTAATTTTGCAAGTTCATTGATTTTTCTAATCTAAATTTTGTAGGTCCACTAACTTTCCTTATCCAAATTTGGCAAGTCTACTGACTAGAGTTTCCATAAATCATGCTATTAAGAAAGAGATATTCTTAGTCATGCATGTCCTTGGTGTATTATTGCATATACCCATAATTAATACAAGTGTGTACTAATCCCATACAACTCTATATTTTTAGGTGCAGGCACAGGTGGATGTTAGAGCTTACATCACGACTTTCCAGTTATCCAGATGAGGAGCTTTCATCTGGATTTGGTAGGCCCTCATGCTTTCGAGGATGTCTAGTGTTATTTTCTAGCTTAGTTGTGGACTGTAGCTAGTGGAGCATGTTCCACAAGTGTTTCATTTCCACTTTCATTTTAGACTTTGTATTGGTGTCGTTTTGGCAAAAGTATGTTTAATGCAAATATGAACTATTTCTTTCATTTGATGATCTTAATGTTAGATAGTTGATTGTGAACGTTTATGTGTTTAATTAGAATGTCTTAAATGAATATTAATTAACAAAAAATTCAAATATTCTGCTAAAATTAACCTATATGAAGTAACGATGACATATGTAGGCTGGTCTGCGACCTCTGAGTGGTCAACGACATCGGTCTCGTTTAGGGTCTAAACTTCGGTCATGAAAAAGTTTGTATCAGAGAAATAGGTGTTAAATTCCGAAGACAACAATTTCAAAAGAACCACATTGAGTTGTTGCTAAGTCATGGTGTTGAAGTGCACCACTATCCTAAATTAGAGACTACATGATGCGTAGGAAAATTCCATTCTTCTGATCTTATCATGCCTTTTCCGAATGTCTAATTTCTTAACGTTATGAGAGTGTCAAACATTAATACTTTTTGTTTTCAGAGAATGAATACTAGGGGAAACATTGGTTAGAGGAGAGGAGCAGCTGCTAGGGACAATCAGGATCCACCCCAGGCTCCAGCTGAAGGAGTGGCTATGACGGTTAACCCTACTGGGTTGAGTGATGCGGAGGTGCAGTCATCTCTGGCCCAGATGGCTGAGTACATAACCTATGCAGGACCAGGCCATGACTGACCAGGTCAACCGGTAGAATGTTCAAAGCGAAAACCCACCAGTTCGTAGCATGCTGAAAGGCTACAAGACTTCACAAGGATGAATCCTCTTATTTTCACATGTTCAAAGGCATTAGAATATCCCCAGGAGTTTTTGGACGAGGTACATAAGATTTTGGTGGTTGTGGGGGCCACAAATATAGTGAAAGTTGAGTTGTCTTCCTATCAGCTTAAGGCAGTTGCACAGACTAGGTGCAAGATGTGGCAGGATAGCCAAGTGTTGGGCGGAGTACTGGTAACTTGGGAGTTGTTTAAGGAAGCCTTCCTGGAGAGATTCTCCCCAGGGAGATGAGGGAGGCCATGGTTGAGGAGTTTATCAACCTTAAGTAGGGATCAATGACAGTTAGGGAGTATTCCCAAAAGTTTGTTAAACTATCTTGTTATGCTACTTCCCTTGTATCTATCAGTAGGGATGAGATGAGTAGGTCCTGAGAGGAATCATCAGAGATATGGAGGAGGAGTGTCGGATTGTGATGCTCCACGATAACATGGACCTTTCAAGGTTGATGGTGCATGTACAGCAGGTGGAGGACGGACGGAAGAAGAGGGGAATATGTGATGCTAGGAGGCCTAAGCCTCATGATCTGGTAGGTCCTAGTAAAGGAGGCAACAGAAACAATTTTGGCATCCATGAGCATCCCAAATTCAAAAAGGGGCAGCAGAGTTCATGGAACTCTAACTTTAAGAGGAGTACAGAACCTAGAAGAAGGCAGACGCGAGCCCAAGAAGGGCAATGAAGGTGATATGCAGCGTCCCAGAAAGAAGTGTGCTAAGTGTGGCTGTGCTGACAGTGGAGAGTGTAGACAGGGAACTAATGCTTGTTCTAGTTGTGGTAAGAGAGTGCACATGGTTAAGGACTGCCCACTTAACAGGGGTCAGGCTGGAGGTATTGCTCAGCCTAGGCCTAATCCATAGGGTGCGAAGCAGCCGAGCCTCCTTAGAGGAACATTTTCTATTCCCTGAAGGGCAGGGAGGAGCAAGAGAAGTCCGCTGATGTGGTCACAGGTATGCTGCAAGTATTCTAAACTTCTGTTTTATGCTTTTCTTGATCCAGGGTATACGCTTTCCTTTGTAACTCCTTTACTTGCCCTCACTTTTGAGATGTTGCCTTAAGTTCTACATGATCATATAGTGGTTAGTATACCTTTAGGAGAAAATGTAAGAACTGATAGAGTAAATAAGGATTGCCCAATAGTTGTATGTGGTAAGATTATGTGCAGACATGGTTGAGTCACCAATGCATGATTTTGAGGTTATTCTTGGCATGGACAGGCTTCATAGTTATTATGCTTGTATGTATTGTGGTAGTAGGGTTGTGATATTTTGTTTCCCTAATGATGAAGAAATGGTCTTGGAGGGGTACAACTCGAGTCGTCTAAATCCCTTGAATTCGAACATTAAGGCCAATAAAAGGATGTCCAAGGGGTTATTATATCATCTAGTGGGTGTTAATGATTTAGATCATGACATTCCTTCCATAGACTCAGTGCGTGTAGTGAATGAGTTCCAAGATGCATTTTCTTATGATTTGCTTGAAGTTCCTCCCCTTCGAGAGATTGACTTTGGTGTCAAATTAGAACCCGATACTAAACAAGTTTCAATTCCTCCTTATAGAATGGCTCCAGCTGAATTCAAAGTGTTGAAGGTGCAGCTAAAAGATCTCACTGTTAAGGGTTTCATTCAGCCGGGCATATCCCTTTGGGGGGCTCCAATGTTGTTTGTGAAAAATAAAGATGCAACCCTTAGAATGTGTATCGATTATCGGAAGCTCAACAAAGTCATTATCACAAATAAGTATCCACTTCCCATAATAGATGACTTTTTCTACCAACTCCAAGGGTCTAGTTTCTTCTTGAAAATTGAGGGTACCATCAGCTTAGGGTTAGGGATGGAGATATCCCTAAGACATCCTTTCGCACCCGTTATGGTCACTATGAGTTCCTAGTTATGTTATTTGGTCTCATGAATGCATCTACTGCATTTATGGATCACATGAACAGGGTCTTCCGTGAATACCTTGACTCTTTCATCATAGTATTCATTGATGACATTCTCATCTACTCTAATACCAAGGAAGAGCATGAAACGCATTTGAGACTAACATTGCAGATACTTAGACAATATTAGTTGTATGCCAAATTCAGCAAGTGCAAATTTTGGCATAGATCAGTGACCTTCCTTGGTCGTGTTGTGTCTGACAAAGGTGTGGAGGTAGATCCCAGAAAGACAGAGGTTGTTAAGAACTGGAAAAAACCTCCTACTCCCACAAATATCGTAGCTTCTTGGGATTGGCTGGTTATTATCGGAAGTTCATGGAGGGTTTTTCTTCCATTTATGCCTCGCTGACAGCTTTGACTAAGAAGAAGGCCAAGTTTGAATGGACGGAGACTTGTGAAAAGAGTTTCCAGGAGCTTAAGGACAGACTCACTTCAGCCCCTATGCTTACTTTGCCTAAGTGTGGTGAGAATTACACTATTTATTGTGATGCATCTAGGGTTTCATTGGGTTGTGTTCTTATTCGGGGTGGTAAGGTGGTAGGTTATGCGTGTAGACAGCTCAAGGTTCATGAAAAGAATTATCCCACTCATGTTCTGGAGTTGGCAGTTATGGTGTTTGCACTGATATTGCGGAGTAACTACTTGTATGGAGTGCATGTGGATCTGTTCACAGACCACAAAAGTCTCTAGTACGTGTTCACACAGAGGTAGTTGAATCTATGTCAACGGATGTGATTGGAGCTGTTGAAGGACTATCATGGGCAGGAGGAGCGCACCATTTAAACATGTTGAGGGCGTGTGTGATTTACTTTAGAGGTAGTTGGGATGACCATGTACCTTTGATAGAGTTCTCGTATTATAACAGCTATCACTCCAGCATTGGGATGGCACCGTTTGAGGCATTGTATGGTAGGAGGTGTAAGTATCCATTTGGATTGTTCAATGTTGAGAGTCATCCATTTTTGGTCCAAAGATCATTCATGAGGCCTTAGAGAATGTCAGGGTGATTAGGGATAGGTTTGCTACTGCTTACGGTTGGCAGAATGCAGACAACAGAAAATGGCCCTTAGAGTTTTATGTTGGTGACCAGGTCTATTTGAAGATATCACCTATGAAGGGGGTAATGAGGTTTGGCAGGAAGGGGAAGTTGAGTTCGAGGTAAGTTGGTCTTCTGTCCATCCAGTCTTTCATGTATCCATGTTAAAGAAGTGACTAGGTGATCCGTATCGATTCTACCTGTTGAAGGTTTGGGTGTCGATGAACACATGTCTATGAGGAGGTACCGGTTGATATTTTAGATAGACAAATCAAGAGCTAAGGGACAAGGAGATTGCCATAGTGAAGGTGTAGTGGAGAATCATCTTATCGAGGGTTCTACGTGGGAGGGCGAGGCCGATATGAGATCCAGCTACCCTCATCTTTTCATCCCTTGAGGTTAGACTTCCTACTGTTAAGTCTAAGTTTCCTTATCTCTGCATTCTTTGTTGCTATTGCTTATTTGTGAATAGTATATATGTTATGATTTGACTGGTATTACGCTAGATAGTTAGTATTGTCATTCAGGGAAGAATGTTCCTAAGGGAGGGATAATGTAACAACCCTAAAAAAATTTATTCTAAGTAATGCTTGATGTGTCTAGAATGCCTACGGTTAGATCAGGTTCACACAGATTGATGCGCATAGAATCAGACCTCTGAACCCTTGCGACAGCCAAGCTAACTAACTTGGGGAGTTAGTTGAGCTACTAAAGGTTGGTTCAATCCATGTAGGGCTCCCGAATATGAAGATTTACCCAAAGGAGTCTTTACCATACTTAAAAGGGGGAAATCTTAAGTTTGGAGGGTCTAGAGGTAAAATGGTATTTTTCCAGGAAAAGGGTAATATCGTAATTACCCTAAATATATAATTAATTATTTAATTATTAATGTGGAGGGGCATTTTGGGAGAGAGGTCCAAAAATTGGCCTTTGAGTAAAGACGTGCTCAACCCCGGTTCGAACCTAGGTGGTGCCAATGATATAAATTGTTTTCATTTAAATTGGTAAATTAACTTAACTAATTAATATTTATTAGCTTATTTAAGAAAAAGGAAAATAATATTTTTAAAGGGTTGAAAGAGTCCTAGTTTGACTAAATCCTTACACCTAAGCCTAAACTACCTTTCACGTTTAACTCTCTCACGTCAATATCTCACTTTCACGATCATTCTCACTTTTTTTTCACGTTTCTCTTCCAAGTAAAAGTTATAAAGCGGATAAAATACTAAATTTCTTCACAGTTGAAGAACATACAAGAAAATATAAGAAAAACAAGTAATCAAAAACGTTAGGCAAAAGGGAGGATTATTCCGTCAATTTGGTGTTGAAATTGAGGGAACTTGGACGTGATTTTTGGAGAGGGTTTTGGGAATCAATACAAGTTTTAAAATACATAAAAGGTACAACTTTTTAAATACATAAAAGGTATAACTTTTTCTTACTCTTGGTCCCTTTCCCAAGAGACCCTTAAAATTCAGTCAGTTTTAATCCAAAAACTAAGATTGTTTCCCCTTTGCATGACCCTGTCACTAGCTCCCATTGATTCGTAGGTTGGGTATGTTTGCTGGTAGATATTAGGCGTGTAATGTGTTTTTCTTATGAATATGTTCATGAATGTGTGTTTGGTATCGTATAAGTGACAACCGATGTTTTCGGAAAATATGTGTATGTGTGTGCAAAGTTAGCCATGACTATTACCTTCGGTTTGAGGTTCAAAAATGATATGTTATGGTTGTATTTTTACGTGCACAAACTTATGTAAATCGTGATATTTACATAAAGTGTAATTTTACTGATTTGAGTGAGAAACTCTTGGCTAAATGAATCCATGAAAATTCACCTAAGACGTTCTAAATGAACCATGAATTACCCAAAGAACTAATGTGTAACATTGATGGAAAAGATGCTGAAAAACTACAAAATTTTCAGCTACATATTGATGAGTTTTGTTCAAGTTAAAATGGTTCAAAATGCTATTAATAATGAATTAAATAAGTGAGGTCACTAAGGATTGAACCCATGACATCACCTTGTTAAAAGTCATAGAATAGTGTAAGTTAAAAAGAATGTGGTAAGAGGGATTTGAACTGTGACCTTGACAATAAAATGAAACTATGAAAATAAAAATAACGCGAGGAGTAAGATTAGAACCCACAAACTCTCGGTCGTACTTAAGGAATTAAAATAAAATAAAGGTTGAGGCATGTGAGAATCGAACCCACGACCTCTAGGTTGATTAAGGGAATTAAAGAGAAAAATAAAGTGAGGTTGTGGGGATTCGATCCCATACCCTCACCGTCAACGTGGAAAAGTCAAAGAAAAAGAAAATAAAGAAATAAGGTTGTGGGGGATCGATCCCACAACCTCTCGGTCCTAAGACAAATAAATAAGAAAGAAAGAAAAATAAGGAAAAATGAAAAGAAGGCGTTAGGGCTCGATCTTGGGTCCCCAAGCCGTGTGGATCAAAATAGAATGAATAAAAAAATGTAAGTGTTGTCCAAGGGATTCGAAATCGGGTTCCTTTTACCAGGATTAACATATAAATCATATGTGAATAAAAGTTCAAAATAATGTCGCCTACTCAGATCGAAATGAAGATCTTGTCTTATGTACATGATGCATAAGTCTTGTACCACATAATATTAGAAATGCATGAATCACTTAAACGAACTATGAATGAAGCCTCATGGCTTGCATGTATAGACCCATAAGTCTAGCATACATTTAAAAGTAAGTGAACCTAAGATGTACGTAATGAAATTTTATAACCCTAGAAGGGTTAAGTACGAGTGTAAAACACACTAAATGACCAAGTGCCCTGGCATATGATGAAATGAACATTCATGTAAAAGGAATGCGTAATTATGAAAAGCAAATGTGCTTATGTTAATGAATGTGGTGAAAACATGATAAGAGGCTAATGTGAAAGATGAGAGCAATCTCAAATGAGCCTAAATAAATGTTACCAAAACATACTCACCTATGAGAGTGTAAAGCTAATGAAGAGACTTGTCTCTATGAACACTCTAATAAAAGTATTGAGATTAATATATACTTAATACTAATGATGAGATAAGAAA